TTCCACATGAGTTCGATTCCCGCCTGACCCGGAGGTGACCACATGGTGCGGCAGACCTCTCCTGACCCACCGGCTGCTCCCCTCAGCACTGTACTTCGTCGATCTGCCTGTTCTGCTCCCCACTCTGTCTCTGGTGAAGTCTCTTGCCGCCCTGAGCCTCTGGCCTGTACCCCAGTTCTTATGCCCAAATAAATAAATCTTAAAAAAAAAAAAAAAGAAAGAAATACACAGACTAGTGAGATACTTATAAATGGTAGTTATGATACAGTGTGATAACTGAAGGAATTAGAGCAGAATGCTCTGTGAAAAAACATGGAGAATAAAGATATTAACTTAAATCAAAAAACATGTCAGAATAGAGGATATCTGAATTAGTTATTAAGGGCAAGTTGGCATTTTCTAGATGAGAAAAGAGGGGGAAAATATATTTTAAGTAGGAACATCAAGGAATAGACAAAGGGTAGCAGAACACACACACTGAGAAAGAATTAAGAATGGAGAACACAGAGAGACCATTTGTGGAAGGACCCCTAATCATGCTGAAGAGCCTGAACTTTCCACCTATAAGCACCCAGGTGTCAGCAAGATCTTTACATGGAGGCCTAACACTGGAGGACAGACTTAACTGAAAAAGGAAATAACACTAGGAGACATTTTAAGAGATGGCAAGAGATGGTGGCCACTGCATGAGGAAGGCACAGGCAGTGAGAACATGAAAAAGGCTTTGCGTGCTAGAGACAAGAGTGTCAGGGAACCAAGAGTCAAGATATGTGGTAGGAAATCAGATCTACCATAAGGAAACACAGATTCTCTAATTCATTCAACATTGATCAAATATTCATACGGCCATATTACAGTAGGGATACAGCAATAAATTAGAAAAGTTTTCTGCCTTTTAGTGAGAGTAAGTCATAGTAGCAGAGATCAGTAAGTAATAAAAACCAACAAGATGACTACAAATTGTGACAGCTTCCAGGAAAAGAAGTGGGATTTTTATTTTTTAAAAGGCTGAGTACAGGGCTCTCCCTGGTGGAACAACAGGTTAAAGCACAGCACTAAGAAGCTGAAGCCATTTCAGCATGAGTTTGATCACCGCCTGCCCTGGAGGTGATCCACATGGTGTGGCAGACCTCTCCTGACCTGCCCACTGCTCCCCTCAGCAGTGTACTTCATCAGTCAGCCTGTTTTGCGCCCCACTCTGTCTCTGGTGAAGCCTCTCACTGCCCTTGCACCTAGGACCTATACCTCAGTTCTGTATGCACAAATAAATAAATATTTAAACAAAAGAAAAAAAAAAGAAGGCTGAGTACAATAAATATATATGTGTATTAAGGGAGGGCCGAGATATCCTTCCAGTTGCGGCCTGATGGATGCAAATAATAAATCATAATTAAAAGAGTGAATGAAGACATAGTTTATAAGAGAAGTTTAAGATGTCAACAAGAAACTAAGAAGCCAGGTGCAGTCACATCTGAGAAGAGATCAAAGATCATTATAATCGTATAATCAGAAGTGACAATCCACACCTACAGAACCTGCTGAAGAAATCCAAGCTGGCTTAACTCTATCAGCCATCTTATACCTCAAAGACAAAGTGTTTGGAATATTCTGCCTTAGTACTAGGGTTAAGAATGGTATATAAAAGTACAGGGGAAAAAATTTTTAATCACTTTGAATACATAATCTCCCAGAATAGAGAAACAAAAATTTCGTCTATTTTATGTGCCCTCTAATATAAGTTTGTATTGCAGTAATATGAACATGTTTCATAATGTTCAATTATTTTTAGTGTTCATATTTATAAGTAATGTTACAGTATTAGAAATTTCTTCTCCATTGGGATTTTCTATATTCCACCAATACCTTAAAGTACAGAATGAGTCATAGTGATATCAACATACAGTAGGTCAATATTGACTGTAACAGCTAGCTCACTAAATAAAAATAAATCAAATCTGTGTTTTTAAAAGGACCACTGCAGGCCCTCCCTGGTGGCGCAATGGGTTAGAGCGCAGCACTGCAAGCTGGCTGCAGCTGCTTCATTGAGAGTTGGATCCCCAGCACCTGGACGTGATCTACATGGTGAGGCAGACCTCTCCTGACCGGCCCGCTCCCCTCAGCAGTGTACTTCAAATCAGTCGTCCTCCTGCTCCCCACTCTGTCTGTGGTGAATCCTCTCACTGCCCCTACACCTTTGGCCTGTACCCCAGTTCTGTACGCATAAATAAATAAATCTTAAAAAAAAAAAAGGACCATAGCATACTGGAATTTGATTAATATACCTACAGCATCATATTGTTTTCCTATAAAAGCAGCCCCAAATTAACATTTAATATAAAGCAGTATATAACTTAATAGCAAATTTTATTGGGATTGTACTTAAAATGTTTATTAACATTTTTCTACACAAGTAGTAGAATAAAAATGAGGGAAAGTTTGTTGAATGAAGGTTTAGTCACAACTGTAGAGAAATTTATGATTAGAAGGAACCTAAACACCTTTAACTGTCTCTTCTTCCCGATTTAAGTAAACAGACCCATATATAGCAATGGCTATTTGCTTAAGAGGCCACGTGAATAATGAGTGATAAAACATGATCCATCAAGCAATAAAGGGGCTTTAAAAATGACCACTGTCAGTATATTTTAAATATAAAAAATGAATGAAATAATGAGTTACCTGCTTGAAAAAAGGATTCTTCATTCAAAAGAAGGATTCATGTTAAACACTATTCTCTGATACATCAAGTTTTTAATTCTACTATAAATACAGCTTATCTGTAGTGTGAAACAACATATTGACTGAAGGTTGGGGAGCAACAACTATAAATTCCTCAACATGAGATGATGGTAAAAGCATGCTAGGACCATAAATAAAATTGACTTTCTGTTCTGAAAATCATTTTATCTCAGTTGACACTTTGTTCCCATTCACATCCCCCTCTTATTTCTTAGCTCAACATACATTATACTCTCACTCCTCCCATCCTGTTCCTATTTGTGTGAGACATATATACATGTATGTGTGCACTTTTTCCACTCAGCTCAGCTTCAGTGGGTCACTGGCACGAGGCACAGGCTGTCTCTTCTTTCATACAACCTGATGCGCTAAATGGATTGCTTAGATAGTCCCTCTATGCTTACGCACAGGATATCAGCTTGCTTGTAAGACACAGTAATATGTACTTACTCTTGAGGATATCAAATTGCCTCTGAGACACAGTAATGGCAGACTTATCCAAATCTCTATTGTTCTGAGAATAACCTTAAAGGACCTCATTCATTTTTTAAGAAGGAAATCATCATGAAAAAATATTGTTTTACATTTAAATAAACTGCCAATTTAGCATACATGAGATTTAATATAATTAAATTACTTTTGGTCTATCAAATCAGGAAATGTACTTTTGCTAAATTTTCATACTAATTTTATGTCCAAAATCAAATGTCCTTTGGCTAAAATTTCATATTAATTTTAAAAGCACACAGACTTGAGGTTATTTGAAACATCATTGATAATCTAATATTTTCATTTTGTTGAATTAGAAACTTAATTTCAAAATCCCAGTTGGTATTAACTAACTCATAGGTATAGAAGAGATAGCCAGATACCTTCACAAAAGTTATTTTAAGATCTTTAGAAAGAAATCAAATAACATTATTTTATTATAACATTATTCACTAAAGTGAATTTAGTACTCAAAGAAAAGGGTCAAAGTAACTACCATTTGTATATTAAAATGTATGAAAATTCTGTAACTTCAGAAAAGCCACATATATTGCAGAGAAAAAGGAAATTCATCTGAACTGTGGAACTTTGTTCCTAAAATCTTAGTGTTGACAAGCAATTTAAATACCATAAATTTGTAATTAAATGGCACAAAATGTTCTTAAGTATTAGGAATAACACGTTTTACAATTTGTGTTTTCAAGATTCACTATTAAATCAATTTTTATGTGTTGGCAAAAGAACTGAAAGATCCACCATAACAAAATTTCTCATATTTACTAGATATAGTCTTGCTGAAAAGTTTGTAACAGTTGGAAATGTTTCTCAAACTGACTTCAACCTGAAGTAAAAGTTCTGGAAAAACATAATCATAATGTATAAATTATTTCAGTTCTACAAATATTTCTAGAGTATCTCCTATGTTCACATATTGTATTAAGAGTTACCTATTTAAAGATGATTTAAAATGCAGTCATTTATCTCAAGAAACATCTGGTTCAGTGTTGAGACAAAAATATAAAAATCAAATTACTATGGAGTCGAGAAATGCAAGTCAAGATGATGATTAAAATGTAGACGCTATGGAGGTTGTAACACTTAGGGGAAAAGGAAAATCTTGAATACTTCACAAAGGAGTTAACACAAGAACAGGGTTTTAGTGGATAAATAGGAGTTCACTGAGTAAGCAAGGGGAGAAGAGAATTCCAGGCAGGTAGATCAGTATATGCAAGAATCATAAATGTACAATAACATGATATAATATATTCTGAAACTGTAAGTAAATTTGATTGAACAGTGTAAAAATGCAAAGAAGATGCAGTGAAAAAAGGGGTAAGACAAGGAGGGAAGAAATACCATGAGGGCCTTGAGAATAATACAAAGGAGTTTAATTTTACTTTATACATGATGGGGAGATGTATTAATTAGGGACTTCCAAGGTGAAATGATCACAGGTTATTACAAAGACAAAGGTATCTTGACATACACAGAATATTAACATAGAGAAGTGAAGAACACAAAGCTATAATTTCTTTTTATCAGTGGTATCACTCAAAATAATAGATAACAGTGTAAAAGGTTTAAAAATAATAGGAGTGGATGGTAGAAGCCTCAAAGGAAAATAATTTTTGTATAAGTGCTTCTATTTTAAATGTTTTTTTTTTTTAATCAGGAGAGGTGGCAATAAATATTTTAAATAATATCATGAACAAAGTTGAAAATTAAAATTTGTCTTTCATAATGCCAATAATTATAAAAGCAGTAGTGCTTACCTCCTTTGCACTCTTAATTTTAGTAAGAAATGTATGTAGCTCCATTGTTTCTGCAAAGAGTGCACGACATACTGCCTGATAATGACGTGGAGCCTCTGATTCAGCTGGGAGATGAGCAGCACATAACTACAGGAAAAGAAACAAAAATAATGGTGCTTGTTTATTATTTGGGCTTTTTGGTACCATACAAACAGATACACTCAGTGTGTTTGAACTTTCATAGCAGACAGTAAGATAATTCTCATTCAAAGCTTTTAATGCAACACAAGGTCATCAGCAAAGTCCACACAATTATATGGAAAAAGTGGTGTACTATCTAACTTACAAAGTATTTAGCAATGCAAGTGCAAGTACATTTGTTTAAAGGCACATATTGCAATGTGAGTAAATTTTATCACAACACTGAGGGGGGGGTGAGATTCTATACTTCCAATATAGAACGATGTATAAACCAAGGATACTTCAATTAAAAAAAATAAACTCACCACAGACAGGAAAATGGCATAATCAAAATTGTATCTCAGGTATTTCTATTACTAAATTACAGTTCCTGGGCAACAGTATTAGACTGATATTTTCTGATAATCTATGTTTAATGAATAAAATCAAAAAATCTTTAAAAATATTCAGTTCAATCTCCTCTCAAATTTGACATTCAAACTTACAAGGCAGCCACTTAACTGGAAGGGAACATACTTAGTGAAAAAAAGCCAGAAAGAAAAAAAAAATACTGATGATTTCACTCATAGCAGGAATGTAAGGGATCAAGAGGAAAAAAGGCAATTGCAATAAAGTAAAAATGAAAATCAACAAACAAATATAAGGCAGAGGCAGTCTACAGGGGTAGAGGGGCAAATAGGATCAAAGTGGCAGGAAAAGAACACTGGACTATGGTGATGGCACATGGATGAATCGGTAATGGAAGTCCACAGGGATTATAACAGATTAAAAAATGTACAAAATGAAGAATGATGTTAAAAAAAATATATATATATAACATTAAAAAAAGAAAAAGAAATATATTGAATGGTTTCACTTATAGGAGGAATATAAAGGATCAGGAAAAGAAAAGTTATTGTAATGAAGTGAAAACCAAAATCAACAAACAACTATAAGCCAGAGACATTTATGGGGGGGTGAAGGAACTGTGGTGACGGTGCAGAGGTGAATTGGTGTTGGGAATTCCACAGGGGTTACAACTGAGATGAAAAAAGCATACATTATGCAAAAATGAAAAATAATGTAAAAAAAATTTTAACCCACTCAAAAAGAAATTACAACATAATGTGCACATGGGAGGTTTTTTTTTTTTTTTGGAAAGAAGAAAAACGTTCTTTAATTGATTTGCTAAAAAACTAAAATTTTGACCACTGTTATGTGTGACTCGATTCATATTATATTTTGAATGTTCTAATGAAGGTCCAACACTTATGTAACCCACAAGTAATAACTTAGAGTACTTCTTCTTGGGATCCTTTCTGACAATTTCTATGAAAATAATTTAATTGGGCTGGCCAGCAGCTTTTTTTTTTTAAATAATATAATAGTTTATTTTTACATCATTCTGTGCCTTTTTCCACCTCAGTTGTAATCCTCGTGGGCTTCCCATCACCAAATCACCCGTGTGCCATCACCATAGTACAGTGCATTTCCCCACCCCCGTAAAATGTATCGGGTATACAGTTGTTCACTATTATTATTATTACTTTCACCCCCTGGTCCTTTATACTCCTGCTATGAGTGAAACCATCTGGCATTTTCCTTTTCCTTCTGGCTTATTTCACTAAGCATGATCCCTTTCAGCTCCATCCATGTTGCTGTAAAAGGCACATGTTTATCTTTTTTGATTGTTGAGTAATATTCCACTGTGTATATGTATCACATCTTTTTAATCCAGCGATCTACTTTTGGGCATTTGGGTTGATTCCAACAAGGGAGATTTTTTTTTTTAAAGATTTATGTATTTGTGCATACAGAACTGGGGTACAGGCCAGAGGCTCAATGGCAGTGAGAGGCTTCACCAGAGACACAGTGGGGAACAGAACAGGCAGATCGACGAGGTACACTGCTGAGGGGAGCAGCGGGTGGATCAGGAGAGGTCTGCCACACCATGTGGTCACCTCCAGGGCAGGCGGGAATCGAACTCATACATGCGGAAGCGGCTTTAGATTCTCAGTGCTGTGCTTTAACCCGCTGCGCCACCAGGGAGGGCCAAGGGAGATGTTTTTTAAGAACTTCACTGAAATAATTTTTATAAGGATCTTTGAAAACCTCTTTTGGAGACTAAAAATTTCTAAATTATTGTATTGATTTGTTTTTTTATATAAGGTTACTCAAATGAAAGGTGATTAAAAATACACCTATATTGCTATCTGAAAAAACCAGCTATTATATAAGCTAGATTGACTATAACAATTAAAACTTCACTAATAAAAATACTAAGTAAATCATAAAATACTATGTAAATCATAAAATACCATGTAACTGCAGAAGTGAATCATGTATATAAAATGGTCATGCCATCATGGTTAGTGATATGCAAAAATGCAATTTTCTTGGCAGTAAAATATTCCCTTTCTGATTACAGAAAGGGGATACTATGGGACTAACAATCTGTATCATAATTAGTCTCAAGTACTGTCTTTTGTTTTCAGTACTTATTCTGCTTTATTATCATCTTAGAATATAATAGCCTCATACACTGAAGTCTAATCATGCTGGACTGTTTTGACCTAGTTTAACTGTTACAGTAGGCAGCTATGAGTGTCTAGGATGAGAGCTGAATAGTCTATTCCTGTAAAGTACTATACCCTATAACTTCCACTTTGGAGAACACTTAATTCTAACTTGATTTTGATTCCTATTAGCAATCTTTATCAGTTTAGCAATTATTTGGAAGCAGAGGCACCCAAATGTCTTCAAAGTTTGTCTGGGTTTCTTTTAAAGACCACTGAGTTGTTCCTGGAAAGTCAGATTTGTAAGTAGGCCATTTACAAATTATTTGCAAATAAAACTTTCTGAAAAAATAAAAAAATGTCCAATTCACAAAGCTTTAAATTTCAGTTGCAAAAATGTCAATTATATCATAATTTTAATGGTTTATATATACTGAGTATAAAAATTTATCATAAGAAATGAGTAATTAAAAGGAGAAAATAAATACACAAAGATCATCACTAAGTTCAGTACCATATAATTAATAAGGCAGGACCAATTACTAAATTTTTATCTAAATTAGTGAGGAAATTAGCATGTTCCTAGTGAATTTCAAAACTTCAAAGGATAGTGAATTTCAGAATTCAAAGGATAGGACTAGTGAGTAATGCTCACCCAATTAGTCTATATTAACAGAGACCTTATTTCAATAACAAACTCAAACAAAACATTTTGGCTTTCGTTGAACATAATTAATCTTAGGCCAAAATAATACATAAACAGAAAAAGCAGACTTGGTCTGTCTCAGCTATCTAATACATGTGCATTTTGAAAATGAACCAATCTTGTTTGGCATAATAAAATTACTTATTTCTATTTTAATCACTTTATAACTATCCTTAAATTTTTCCCTTGAAGACCTATAAAATAACATACAAATTCTGACATTACATGGTAAACCAAACTAGAGCTTATGATTTCTAAACTATGCCCTTTTATTTTCAGATTCAAGCCAGATTTTATTTGAAACTATGACAACACTGAAAACATATAAAATCATTCACGGGCAATAATGAACATTAAATTTTTATTTATAGCAAAAAAGCTGAACAATAAGAGGAAGTGAGTTTCTAAACCAAATAGTTCCCCATTAATACATTATTTCAATTCATCATGTTTTCTTTTATTCTTTATACATATGATGGGAGATTCAGTATCGTAGTTTTCAAATTTATTAAAACCAAACTTATCTAACACTGCACACCTGAAACATGCAATATTACTTAAAAAAATTCTCATATGGGTACATAACACAGTTATATAATTATAACTTGAAAGACTGCAATATTCTATCTAGTTAACATACCACTTCTTTGTTAGTCATTTGAGTCCAATAAGTAATGCTGAATACATGCCTTCATATATCTATGCAATATTTTCTTCTTTTAAAATTATCCCTGTAAAAAATTTCTTAATAATAGTATTAATAACTTTTTACATATTTGAAACTTTATGTGATTTCAAACATAGACAACACAAAATGAAGAGAATAATGAATTAGCATTTATCCATCACCCAATTTAAGAGGTATAAAATCATCATAGTCATCTCATTTTATTACATCTTCACCCATTTAGCTTTACCCTCCAATATTATTTTTTAGCAAATCATGGATGCCTGATACATATGTAAATATTCTAGCACACAGCTCTAAAGATCAGAGTGCTTTAAAAAACTATTATTATATCTTAAAATATGAGTAATAATTCCTAATATCATAACCTTTAAAAGTAAGAAATCAATTTTTCTGATCATCTCAAGTATATACATGGTCTTACAATTTATTTATTTAACTGGGATCCACATAAGGTCCACATATTGCAACTGGCTATTATAATATCAAATCTCTTTTAATTTCTCCCTCTATTATTTTTAACTTGTAATTTATTTGCTAAAGAACCCATGTGATAGTCCCACTTTCTCACATCTGGATTCTGCTGATGAAATCACCTTGGTGTTATTTAAAATGTTTCTATGTACTAAGAATAGAAACCATAAAGTACTGGAAGCAAAGATGGGAAAAACATGACACAACATACATCTCAGTAATATATTTGACAGCACCCAACGCAATGACAGTGAAGGAAAGGATAAACATATGGGACTACATCAAGTTAAAGAGCTTCTGTATAGCAAAAGAGACATTACAAAAAACAGATAGACATCCTACTGATTAGGAAAAAATTTTCTCACACAATACTAATGATAAAGGATTGATGACAAAGATAAACAAAAAACTGATGAAACTCAACAAAAAATAAATAACCCATCAAAAAATGGGTAGAAGAGCTAAAAAGACACTTGTCCAAAGAGGAAATGCAGATAGCCAACAAGCATATGAAAAAATGTTCAACATCACTTGTAATAAGGGAGATGCAAATTAAAAACACAATGAGATGCCACCTCGCACCAGTGAGAATGGCACACCTTCAAACAACTAGCAACAACAAATGTTGGCAAGGATGTGGAGAAAAAGGAACTCTCCTGCACTACTGGTGGGAATGCAAATTAGTACAACCTCTATGGAAAACTATGGAGGTTTCTCAAACTGCTAAAAATGTTGCTTCCACATGACCCATACCTAGGAGCAATCCCACTCCTAGGTATCTACCCAAAAGACACAAAAACACTGATTCAAAAAGATACCTGTACCCTCATGTTCATTGCTGCTTTATTTATAATAGAAAAGACATGGAATTAACCCAAATGACCAAAAGTAGATTAAAAAGATGTGGTACACAGCCCTCCCTGGTAGCACAGCGGGTTAAAGCACAGCACTAAGAAGCTAAAGCCACTTCTGCATGAGTTCGATCCCCGCCTGCCCCGGAGGTGACCACATGGCATGGCAGACTTCTGACCTCCAGCAAAGTACTTTGTCAATCTGCCTGTTCCGCTCCCACTCTGTCTCTGGTGTCTCACTACCCCCCTGTGCCTCTGGCCTGTACCCCAGTTCTGTATGCACAAATAAGTAAACCTTAAAAAAAAAAGATGTGGTGCATACATACAATGGAATATTACTCAGTGATCAAAAAAGATAAACTCATACCTTTTGCAGCAACATGGATGGAACTGGAAGGGCATATCATGCTTAGTGAAATAAGCCAAAAAGAAAAAGAAAAATACTGGATGGTTTCACTCATAGCAGCAGCATAAAGGACTGGGTGGGGGGGGGTGGAAATAATAATTAACAACTCTATACCAGAAACATTTTATGGGGGTGGAGTGTGGAATGGGAAATAAAATGTGGGGGGAGTGCACTGGACTATGATAATGGCACACGGGTGATTTGGTGATGGGGATTACAACTGAGATGAAAAAAGGCACAAAATGATGTAAAAATAAACTATTATAATAATAAAGAAAAAAGGATACTAAAGAAAAAAATTTTTTTTAATGTTTCTATGTCCCCTGAATTTTCTATAAATTGGTAGATCAGTTAGATCTAGAGGCTGGATCAGACTAATAACTGTGTTTATTTATTTTCTGGCAAGAATGTAGATGGTGGTGTATATAGTTTTATCAGGAGACATACAAAGCCTGTTCTCTTGCGATGCCACAATAGTTACTATTATTGTTTCTTTAGAATTAAAATTACCATTTTACTTTGAAATACTTTTATAGAAACTGGTCTAAAACTAAATGGTTTCCCTGAGATACTGTTCATATAAAAAAGGCATGATGAATATACTTTATTTACCAATTTTCAAACTCAGTTGGCTTCCTAACAATCTCCAATAGTGACTAATGAGTGTTTTATTGATTATCATGTATTCATGGAGTTCAGTATATTTGATATGCTTAATTTATCAAAGCCATTATCCTTACTGATGATCAAATTCTTTTACCTTTGACCAAAGGGAATCTTCCCAGGTTGACTTTTGAATACCTTTAATACAATTTAGTAATCTTGAGTAATTTGTTTATTTTCTGGATAAATTTATATATTTCCTTTGCAGATCTGTAATTACAGTCATTTTTCTATAGAAGCCTAGTATTCTTTTGTTGGAGAATAATATTAAGAGACCATAATTGTGTGGTATCTGTACTCACTGCCACCAAGTTGTTATAATTTGTATGTTTTTTTATGTGTAGGTTATGACTCCCATGTGGTAGAAGTTCTGTTTTACATATTTTGTATCTGGAAGGGCACTATTATATTTAATTTTATTTTACAAATACATAAAATATATGATTTCCAAAATAAATCAATTCAATCAAGACCTCAGAGATGCTTGTTGCTAATATCTGTTCTAGTTTTTCCACTCAGTTTCTTTTCTCTACCTTTAGCTAACTTTTTATTTTGGTTTTAGTTTGTTTTATCTTTCCTTATTATTATTATTTTTTTAAATACTGTTGTGACAGGAACTAACTTTGTTGACGCTTTGTGGGGGATGTACTATGAGGGACACAGCATCCATGGAGTGAGTTTGCAAGGTAAGACTCTTATTTGAGCAGAAGTTCTTGTGCCACTCATTGAAATCATACAGGATAGTTAAAAACTGATCATGTGACAATGGTGTGAGGAATAGGGTCTGGAGAGTAGGAATGGGAGACAAAGTTTTACAAGGAGCAGGGAAGGGGACATCGTGACCATATGTCAAAAGACAGTTGCATCAGCAAGGTATGATGTTATCACAAGCAGAGTTATCCCAGGACCACCATAGAGACAGTCATATAATCAGATCAATAGTGGCCTAGGAGTTTTTGCTCGTGATATATTCTGCTATACTGCCACATTCCATAGGTAGTCAAGAAATGTGTGCGGTGATTTGTAGATAGCAAATGGGTCACAATTGCTCATAAGTGGCCAGCTCATAGGAACCCACAAAAAATAAACTGACACATACATATGTAAACATATTCTTATTCATATTTTTTCTTATATAATATTATCATACAATATATACTTATTTATTCATGTAAACAAGATATCCTGGAGATCTTCAATCTTTTTGATAGCTATATAATAGTACATTATTTGGCTATGTCAGTTAATTTAACCATTCCCCTATTGATGGACATATGGGATATTTCCAATCTTTTGCCATTATAAATACTGATTTTTACATATAATGCCAAATTGTTTTAGATAAGGGATATGCAAATTTACACTTACAGGTATCAATTACTGACTGAAAAAATTACCATTGTTTCAAATTTTAAGCAAAAATAAATTTTTG